GGGAGAGGGCGAGGGCGGCGATCCCAACTGCTCGTCGAGTGTATAGGTTCGGCCCGGACATCCGCGTTCAGGCAGTGCGCAGGAATTCGGAGATACGACAATGGGGGAGCGGTCGTATGCAGAGGAGGAGTAGACGGAGAAGGTATGACTTGTGAGAGATGGGGAAGGCGGGAAGTGGACCGCGTTCTGGGAACCGTTGCAGACGGGGGCTGACCGCTTGAGAATTGGGCGGGGAGACATGGCTGAGAGGTATAATCGGTGCGCTGTAGCACACAGAGGACGACGCAGGGGTCAGGGAGCTGGGGTTAGCAGCGGATGGCCATGGTCGGGGAGCAGCTGGGTTGTTAAATAAAAGACCACCGAGCGGCTGGCCAAGATATAATTTAGCTCTATTGATCGCTATTTGGTCTTTTGTTTTCTTTTTCTGACCGGCCTGGCGGCGTACCGTCCGCAATCGCCGTCCGCCACCAACATCCCCTTGGCCATCCATCTTCGCAGCCTTCTCGCCTGGCCATGCTCTTCGCTTCGAACCTCATGCCTTCTCCGCTTCCCTAGGATCTTTCCCTTGGCCTTTATTCCCGCCCTTCCTGTTTCGAACAAGCCACCAAAGGCGGTGTATGTAACATCGGATCACCCCCTTGTCTCGCCGCTACAGACCACAAAGCACGAAGAACCAACCACCGTGCGTCCTGGCCTCAGGCGCCTCGTTTGTGTCGCATTTATGTTCAGCCTTGTTCAACATCTCAGTTTGGCATTCCCGTTTGACATATGTACCGACTCCGAGTCCCGACGTGTCGTTGGATCTCTCTTGCCGGCGTAATTCCCGCAAACAAGGTGCGCAAAAACATCCCCAAACATCTCCCCTCGGTGGCGCAGAACAGCACCTGCTATATGTGTGAAGCTTCCGTCCCCACGGGCTCTCTCACAATCCTCCGTCGTTCCTTTGAGGGTCCCTCCGTCATCCACGCTCGAAGCACTTCGATAAAGGATGTTACACCGATAAAGCAGGCAGGAAACACATCCTGAATACATGCCAGCATGTGACCCCTTGTAGCTGCCATCCCACTCTGAGTCTTCGACGCATCGTCTCTCCTAGGCACTCCTTCTCCCGCGAAGCTCCCCCAATTCCCATACCAGATCCACTGGCTAAGACTACTTTGCCCTAATTGGGTCTGGCTGATGTGATATATACTCCTCGGTCATGGGATAGGTCTATCGCAACTCAGATCGCTATCGCTCTAAATCTCCTCGTTCACCATATAACGTCCCCAGGCCAGCCCAGCTCCGAAGATCCCACTTCCGCCTTGGCAGAAGCCTGCGCGACACATGCACGACGTGCGAAGTACACCTCCACCCATTCCTGGAGCGTAAATCCCTCCGTTCATGTAATTCGATATTCAGACTTCCGTCGGCGCCGTACAACGCTCGACGCGGTATGCTCAAGGAAGCAAATCTCGTGATTTCTTATTTGATATTATCCCTCCTGCATCTCCTTGAATCTTCGAACCAACTTCTGGTCCTGGACATGTGAGCTGGCGTCATGGCGGTCAGGTTCATCCTGTGATACCTAGGACTTGACGCTGTCCTATTTCGTACTAGCCATATCACAGCGATATCCACATCCATGCATCGGGAGCGTTAGCTACCGTTGCCTTGTCTGAGCCTTACTTTGAGTGAGGGGAGGCTCGACCGAGCACATATGGGTACCTGAGGCAGCTGATGCTGTTCAGCGCGTCTAGCTGCGCTCCACATCCAGATCCAAGGCGCCGGAACGCGGTGTTATTATTAATCATCCAAACCTCACGCACCTGCTGTGCCCGCAGGTGATCTGCAAGGATATACGATAACGTGCTCGCCTCGCGCGACGCGGTTTGATATATTGGCCCGTGCGCTGGCAGGCGTGTTCTACAGGACGTTTCTCACCATGATCAGTGGCAACAATCACTACACGAAGAATGCAATTATGTGTCTTCACTATATTTGCTGGTTACTTCGTGGCTTATCTGTATAGCATGCCGTACATGACATGCGCACACGTCTAGCCGCTGTCGCTCCATCGGAGGATTTCGGTGGACCCATAGAATCTCCCTTCTCGAAATTTGGAGTGACAGGGCCTTTGGTCACTAGCACCCCAACTTTCACGACATCTGCATGTCTAGACAACTATCTATAAAAACACACCGTCAAACAGACAGACATCGCTAATCCCAAAACCCCGGTGTGCGTAGATAGATATAGATCCCCTCCCTGACCCACGGGTGACTCGCCCCTCGAGGCTCCTAAACGCCCCCTTGTGAGTCCGTGCCTCCTCGTGCCCCTCTCCATCACCAGCACCCATCACTGTCAACCGTGCATTCTTCAACCCCGAGCTTCGAGAACGTCGCAGCGCAACAACCGGAATAACAGAGCGTTTGGAATTTGCAAATCGCGAGTTCGACTACAAGGTGATATCTTTAGAAATCACACTGATCACACACATCAGTCGCCCCTTCCCAAATTCCATCTCCCCTTAGATCCAGGACCCGTGCCCACCCTATAATCAGACCTTCAGGCCCACAGAAATCGCACCACCGCGCTGGTGCTCCCCTGCCTGATACCAGCTCGAGAACCCATTAAATCACTGATTTATGATTTCATGGAACTCTATATAACACTTATATGGCCCAGCGCACCAAACCGGTAAGGTGGTACGTCCTTAGAGTAAGTAGCTGCAAATGGAGAGGAATCAGGAATCAGGGTGCAATTTGTTCAGGGCAATGTGCAAGGTTGTGTCTAAATATAACCAGGGCCCGGGTGGTATGATCGGTCTTCCGATCGCTCCTAGGAACAAAACATGACTTCCTAGGATATGACACCACTTTGCCACATATCTCATTGGTTGGCACGTACATGTACTAGTATGTAGTAAGTATCCTGAAGCCATGCAGTTTGAGGGAGGAGCGGCGCTACTGCTACATTTACTATGCCACGTATGTACGTGGGTCCTTGATGCGTGAGGCTACCGCACGACCACGATGTATCAAAATGTGGTGCATGTACATAGTTACTTACTACGCTCCCTAGAAACGCGCCATTGGTCGACGTCAAGCGAGTCGGTGCGGGCTCCGAGTGTAAGTGGTCTGTGCGCCCACCTGCCAGTGCCAACCCCATGTCATGGTAGATCATGATCAGTACTGCCCTGCATTGTATCTATCATCTCCACTCCATACATCTTGGCCTCGGCTGGTAGAAGCACGACATACAAGGCAACAAAGCAAGAAGACCTCGACATTTTCACCCGTACCCACGTCCGGGTCCCAGGCGTCGGAGACAGGAGGTGGATGGGTCTGTGATGCTTTGTGATAAGCATGGGACGACCCTAGTGCATCCCACGAGCGTGCAGCATCGGGAAGACACGGTTAGGAATGACGAATGTGCTATTAGCGATGTTCGTTGGTGGGTCCGCACACCGTACCCAGGAGCTCCAGAGGCCAAGATGAAGGTGGTGCGAGCGCGATCTGTACGGCGATTCGGAATGCAGATGGCTTGTCAATCGTCATCGGGGACGGTGATGAGAATGCGATATAATAGTTGGTGATATCGGGTAAGAGGTTCCCACTGTAGTATCTTTGCGGTATACGGGCAGCCGAAGAGAGTTGTGCCACCCGGACGTGTCACTCCTATGATACTTACGGTGAGGGAACGGGTTGGCGCCAAGAGGTGTTCTTAAAATAGGTCTTGCTCGCAACCTCGATCGGCGGTCAATAAACCGGGAATGAGAACGGTGACCAAGAACTTTGTGGAATGGAGTGTGCTCGATACGAGCTGTGAGAAATGACTTCCCGAAAGTATTTCCCGGCCTCCCATCGGCGTCGGCCTACGTGTCGTTGATGTACACGCAGCTACACACTGCGGAATCACAAGCACGTCCCCCCTGTCCACTCCAGTCCAAGTAAGTATAACTTTCGACCACGAAGATCACCGCCCCACGTCGTGCCAAGGTAGGCCAAGGCGTTCAAGGCTTTAGCTGACTCCCGATTTACCTGGATAGCACAAAACGTGGAATGGCGAGAAGCAAGTCCAAGGGAGCGACGGAGGCCGAGGTAGCGGCTGACGATAGTGGCCAAGCCCATGTTCGAAGCATGATGATGATGTATCGATAGGCTCGAGCTTCGAAGACGCCACGATTCAGATTTTCCATTCCCGAAAGAGGCTGACGATTAACAAGCAGCGCCAAGGGCGCGCTAAATTAGTAGTTTGAAGAGCCCAGACAGATGACGAGGACAAGGAGATAAACGGTGGCCAAGACAAGCGTCGAGAAGAGCCCAAGACTCGACCCGTAGATGATGGCCTCCGATGAAACGCGGGTTCGTCGCACAAGCAACCTCGTCCGAGCTATAGGTGTGATGCAATTGGATCAATATTTTTCGTGCTTGCCACGCCAAGTACGCTGCGTGCGCACTCCAGCCGCCAGCACAGAGCTTCTGCTAGCCCATATTCGGGCCCACGATAAGGGTCACAGTAAGCTGCAGCGAGGATAATGTGCAATTCGAGAACAGAGAATGCCTTCGAGGTCAAAACGCTGCGATATTTCCTCGGCTCTTATCGAGTAGTCGTTGCTTGGGAGCTTGGGTCTGGGCTAGTGGAGGATGATGGTCCGGGGCTGCTTATAGGCTGCTAAAGACTGCTATTAAGGAGGACAGGGGTCTGGGCGGAGCCATGTCACTGTCAGTCAGTGAAGTATGAAGGTTGTCAACGCAATGCATTGAACGTTCCTTTTGAGGGTCACGGTGCAGGTCATGGTGCAGGCCTGTGTAGAAAGTTTTCCGGAACCAGTAGGTTGCTTCTAACCCCGGGTCTGGGCCCGAAAGTGCTGGTGCAGGATTATCTCTGATTCAGCGTCAGATGCGTCGTACTGTAGATAGTTGCATCCGTGAAGTTGTAATGGTTGGTGGATAGCCTCGGAGGAGGGGAAATGATCCGGAAAAGTAGACAAAAAACGATCCGTCTCCTAAGTCTTCTACACTGAAGGGGAATCGAACCCCTGCCGCTTGCTATAATCTCATGCCATACATGGCGATCATGGAAGGCAAGCATGATAACCACTTCACCATCAGTGTCTGTTCATGTCGTTGGAGATCATTCATCCAGAATGGACAAGGGGCTTCACTGGCCAATTGAGCTCGATGTGATGGTGGATAAGTACCAACGATAGATAATGTTGAACTACGTCGCGATTAAGTACACGGCAATACCGTCGGTTACTAGCATCTAATAACAGGTCCCTAGAGTATGGGTATGATGCATGGTGATATACAATGTGTTGAACAATTGAATCCATCCAGGAAATGGCGAGATGCTAACCATAGCATTGACGTCTCGCCGCGAATTTTTATTTTCCGTTTTCAAACATGGCCTTTGCTATCTTTCCTGTCATATGTGGGGAGGCCGCGGTTATTTGCGCTGGACGAGACAATGACCTCATCCACGGAAGTGTCGCGTTCGTGCAGATTGGACTGCGGTCCGACGTAGTGTTTGCGTGCTCCGAGCATGTACCATACGCTATTGAGGTAATAATCAGCCACCGTCACAAGAGATTAACGAGGACGTACCCTGAGAGCACCATAACGCCTACGGTGATAACCTTGAAGTAGGCCGGAGGTCAATGTTGGGAAGACGTTGATGCGGAAGAAAACCCACCGAAGCATAGTTCATGTTACTTGGGGTCACTGGCAGAACAGTGGGCAGCGAGAAAATGACGACAATAAATAGCGTCCACGTTATGCAGATGAAATTGCAGGCCTTTCCGATGAACCCGTCGCCCATGTAGAACGGACCAGGTTTGAACATGACGTCAGGATGGTCTTGGAATACACGTCGCAAAAAGATGGGGATGATGTAGCTCAGGTCCAAGGCCATCGCCGTTAAGGAGAAAATGGCATTAGCCGCGATTGGACTGGCAAGGTCGAGCAAACCGGGCAGGATGCTGAATATGGTACTCAGCCAGATAGCTCGGATTGGCGTCATGGTTTTCTTGGAGTTTCGGCCAAAGAAACCCCAATCGGGGAGACCTCGAAACATGGAGTATTAATATGATAGTTCGGTGAGATATAAAATGGTACACACCATGATCACGGCTAAAGGCGTAGACGGTACGTGAGGTCGCCTGGAGCGCTGTTTGCACGACGAAGAATGCAGTCAGGCAGACAAAGGTCTAAAGAAGTGTAAAGATGGTGATACTTTGGGATATTTCGTTGAAGCTCTCACCCAGAGAATCAAGGCCCCAGTTTTGCCCATACGCAGGTACATGATCTTAGAGCCATGTCAGTTCCGAGGTCATCTTTCTGTGGCGAGAATAATCACTTGGAGGAAGGCGGAACCTGATGGGCCAGGAAGGTCCCCGCTGAATATGACAGATCAGCAAGGAATGCCGCCATAGCAATGATACAGCACATACAGAGGTCCTGAACACAAGACCATAACAATGTTCAACAGCCATCCAATGATACCGGTGCCGATAACTATAATATATGTTCGTAACCATTCCTCGACGTGGGGTGAACAAGGGTAAGGGTGTCCATACCAGCGATGAAAATTGCAGATGGCGCTGATGACGTTGGCTCGTCAGGATTTGGATCTTTTCCATCGCCGAAAGCTACGCACCTGCATATGCCGCACGGCGTACTTCTTCCCTGTAATGGGCTTAGATCCTGGAAAGCCTTGGAAAAAGGGGAGCGTACGAGATATGAGCAGTGGCATCATAGTCCTAGGTAGGACTTGAATAGAATATACGAGCAGTTTATAAAGGTTCACTGACTGTCATCTACAGGCGAATGAGTTTAGACCCTAGACGCATCGAGGAGATGAGTTACGCACTGTCCACTGAACGCTGAGCAGTCCAAACAGGAACGCTATTCCTGTGTTCCATCCACCGGTTTGGTTCACAATACCATCAGACCCGAACACGTATTTCGCGGGGTGCATTTCAGACCGAGGAGTTGTTGCAAGCAAGACAATGATGATAACTAGACATTATTAGATAGTGAGATGACCACAAGTATAGTGGATGCGAAGGGTGAGAAGCGTACGAAATGTTGCTCCCAGGTTCACGAACACAAAACCAGTTGTCATCCGAGCAAGAGATCGTGTTGTAAGGGAATTCTGGGGATGGGATGACGTCATTATAACAAGGAATCTTTGAACAGAAATGATATTTACCAAGATGCCGTGGAACACAAGGAGAGCAGCGAACAAGCCTACAACTTTGCCTTGCGTGACTTCATAGTTCCCACCCTGATTCAGGACGAGTAAGTTATCTGAACGATGCTCGGAGAATGGAAAACATACCTTGCCAATAACAACCGCAGCCCAAATCATATTGGCAAGACCAAATTCAGTTGACGAGACTCCAGCCACTTGACCTATAGAGGGGGACGGACGTTAGCCATCGGTACGAGTTTGAGAGAGTCAAGGAAAGTCGCACCTAGAATGTTCAGCCACCCAACCACCCATCCAACCTGTATAGCTTAGATTTGAATAACCATCTATATCAAGATGTAGGGGAATTTACCTTGGCACGATGTTTCTTAGGGGTTAATTGTGCGGACGCAGTGTACCTGGGATAAAGCTCAGATCGGGGGGGTAGGTACAAGTCAAGGTTGACACTTACAAGCCACCGCAAGTGGGATAGGCGCTAACAATCTCGGCTATGCTCGAACCCAGGGTAAAACACATACACGCCCCTAAAATCCAGCACCACACCGCCTGTAAAGAAAGGTTTAGGGCTTGATAAATAGAGATAGCGACCTGAAACCTACGGATGCTGGACCGCCGAGGAGAAGAGGGGTATTGAAAGTGGTTGCAATACTTGAGCAAAGGCCCTATAGCCACGACCGTGAGCCGTATTAACACCTCCAGACGCGCAAAAAACTCACCATGATACTGAACGCGAAACTGATCTGTGTGCAAAGTTAATTCTTGAGAGTAGGGAGCGCAGAAATGGTTACGACGTACCGTAGCCAGATTAGAGAACTCCCTTTTAAAAGAGGGCTTGTACCCCAATGCCACTAGCTCCCTGTCATCGTCGTCGGCGCTGCTAAGCGAGTGGGTAGACTTGGTGGAAGCCATCGTTGTAGGAAGAGCAAACAAGTAGAGAACCTGGTCCTAGTGCACCTCCGGATTGGAGCAACCTGTCACTTCTAGTGGAGTCCCGTGGGTGAGCGCTCAAGCAACTGACGTGACTGGAAAGAATTAGAGGGCCTGTGCGTGGTTGATGAGTACAGGTTCCCATTCGTTCGATAAGCCATACGGTCGGTAAAAATGTTGCCCACATCAGATCATGATCTTGTGATCGCCCAGGCTCGCCAGGACGCGATGACTACGCGATGGTGGTACGCGACGCGTGTGAAATATCTGCCAAGCAGGCACAAGTCCTGGATAGCATGTGTAGGCGGCGTCGATAGGTCTGCTTCTCTGAGTTATGCACCAGGCCCTTAAGGTATCGGGCTCACCTCACGTCTTCAGCTTGAGGGTCTCATTGCCTGGCCAAGTCCAGTAATATGGCCAACGTCAAGATAGTTTAGCCGTCTTGGTTGCGCCTAATATCGGTGACTTTCTGTCAAGAAGAATGTGATAAGAAAAACCCCTAAGATAAGTCCACTTTTGGCCCAATTTCGAGATCGCGTGATAACGCATGGCTGCATATCGTCGTGGATGTAGTACCATCACACAAGCCCATTGGGACGCTCGAGTTACTGCCAGCAAGTAGAATGTCAAACAGGATTGTATTTTCTGACGACGATGGCAAGACATGGATGTACGAGTATTGAACATGGCAATATGGGAAAGCGAAGATTCTGCGGAAGCTGAATATCGTCCGACGCCCACTGCAGAGATTCACATATAGTATGCGGTCTGGGACTTCATTCATAGTAGGAGAGCATGGGGAAAGCAATATGGCAAACAGCGAAAGCAAAGATAATAAATTCAAGTGAAAAATAGAGGGCTGGAGAAAAAGATACTTGGGAACGACTTCAAGGTGTGTCCTTATGGGTGCATGCTGTGAGGGGTATAAAATAACAAGATATCATGGATCGATGGCTGGATGTTTCCTGAGACAGCCTATAAAGATGAGGCTCAAGCGGGTGTCGGGATCATGCTCCTCCGCTTCGAGCTCATATCCACGTTTTCCTTCTCCTCTTGCTCAGAGACGCTGGGGACTGGAGTCGTATTTGGTACTGAGCGCAGGGACTTTAACTTCGCTGGGGTCTGTTCCAGCGAAGCCACACGTCGTGGGGGAGCCATAGCTGCAGGTTGCGCCCCAGGCTTCGTGGATGACGATCGCGAGAGCCCAAAAGATGGAGGACCACGCGCCGCAGGGGTTGGTGTGCTACTGGCACCGCCGAATGAAGGGCGTGTTTTCACGGGTGGGGGACCCATAGACCCTTCAACCCGCTTAGATGCGCTGGCCATGGTCGAAGATCCATTCACACGCGTGCTTTTACCCAATGCAGGTAGCTTCGCGGCTGAGGATATTGGGGTCTCAATACCAGTACGATTACGATCTTTGCCGACGGTGCTACCTGTGTCAGATGCGACGGATGAAGGACGAGGAACAGCGGGGGTGTTGAAGATTGTCGAGTCGCGACGATTGGTGGCGACGCGAGAAGGTGCTGGAGTGGAACCTCCCGTACCTCGGACTCCCAGGTTTCGTTTGATCTAGAACGATGCGAGACGCGCGTAAGAGTAAGTACACAATCAAAATAGCAACACGTACCAGCTGCAATTCCTGCTGTTTCGAATCCAAGGCAGTATTCAGGCCTTCAAGGTCCTCTTTATTTTGCTGGACCCGCTTCTCGAGCTGCACGACCTTTACCTCCTTATCCGCGCTCTCCTGCCGCAACGACTGAATCTTTATCCTTGAACGCTCCAGCTCCTCCTTCAGGGCTTTGATCTTATCCGCCGAAACCTTCGCGTCGATGTCCACAGTAGCCTGACGACGAACCAGAGCCTCCATCTGGGTCCGCGCCTCGCCCTCGCGCATTGAAACCTCCTCCAGCGCCCTAGTCTGCTCGCTGATGACATGCGCGTGCTCTCGCCTGAGGTCGCTCATCTCCTCCCG